AATCATTTGTTAATCACTAGCATAGATGAAACCTAAGGCGTTTTTGCCTTTTCTTTACCAATATTCCCATCTTCTTCCACCATCTTTGTGAGCTTTTCTCCTGCTAGTTCAAGAAGTGCAAGTGGATTTTGCGTGGGAGGGTTTACTAGTGGAGGACCTAACGGATCAACTTGTTTTGTAATTTGTAGTTTACCAGGTTTATCACTCAAGCAATCTTCAGAAGTGATGGATGGGTTTGGTTTACGCTTCAATTTTACTGTTTTTATTGGTGCGTGGTTATCTAAGCAAGTCAGAAATAGGTCATTAAAAGCGTTCACTTTCCCGTCAACTGACTCCATCACACATCCCACGGTGTTCCAAGGGATATGAGCAATATCATTGCTGAATTGTTCAGCTCTATAGTTCTTAAAACTTCTTGTGGTGATGTAGTTTGGAGTTTTCCTAAGAGCGATGGACAGCATTAACCACGCTACCCTGTTAAATAAGCTTCAGTCGCTAGGAACATTAACAAGTGCACTAAATTGGTTTCAAAGCTACTTTACCAAGAGAGGGAAAACCACTCGAATAGGAACATCAACATCTTCATCGTTAAAAAAACTCAAAGTGTCCCACAGGGACCTATTCTCGGGCCCGTGATATTTATTTTTATAGACGAATAATTCGCAAGACATCATTTCGAACTGCTCATTTGAATCCTATGTTGATGGCAATTAACTCTTTATTTCCTTTGCAACCAACGAAAAAGTAGATGCCCTAAGTCAGATTGTCAGCGATATCAATAGTGTAGCAGAGTGGTTTTGTACTAACCGACTCCTCATAACTGGGAGGGAAAACAAAGTTCATGCTCTTTGGTACACGTCGATTGATTGGGAAACTTAGCAACAGCACCATCCCTTTCCTTGACAGAGATCTATCTCCTTCGCCCTTTTTGAAAGATTTAGGAGTTGTATTGACAGTAACCTTTATCTCGATTTTCATGTAAATCATCTATCATCTTTAATACAAGGTAAACTTTGTCAAATTAATAGTGCCCGACATCTATTTACAAAGACGTTCTTTCAGTCATTTTGAATTCTTAAGTGTTCAGCAAATTATTTGCTGTTCCACTGTGTGGTCAGGAACAACACAACAGAATATCCAGAAACTGCAGCGATTACAGAATTTAGCCTCCAGAATACTAACTGGAAAAAGAAAATATGATCACATTTCCACAACCATCAGAGACCTTGGATGTCTTCCAATAACGAACATGTTACAGCTTCGTAAAGTAACCATGGTTTTTGAAATTCTTAATGGCCTTGCTGCAAGTTACCTTGGCCGTTTTAATATCCACAGTCAAAATACCAGAAAGAAGAATCACTTAGACATTACATTAGGGGAACCTCCACTGCGCAGAGATAATTTTTGTTTCCGCCGCAATAGTGTCATGGAATAACGAGGACACTAACAACAGTATGAACATTGATCTTTTTAAACATCGTGCCCGTAGGGAACTTTGGGCTTCTATACTTTCACTTGTAATGTTTTTAGGATTGTATTTATTTTAGTTCATCTTTAGACGTTTTTTTAAAGAGTATTCTAGTTAGACTGAAAGTACCAATTTTGGGCGTGTTAGTAAACTTATTGTATCGCACACAGGATGCGTTTGGAAGAAACTTGGCATTTCTAGCTGCGTGGTTTTGAGCCTGCCTGGAGTTTTTATCAGTCTGAGGTTCAGAAACTCGAGGACTTCTAAGTCCAGACAAGCCTTAATAAAACAAACCTTAATAGAATTTTTCTTCTACAAAAGCGAGCAGTACGAATTATTACAAATGCAGATTTTCGCGCGCACTCTGAACCATTATTTTTCCGTTTAAAGATTTTGGACATATACAACATTAATTCATTCTATACTGCACAATTTATGTTTTCATATTATCATCAATTACTGCCACCGCTTTTTTTGAACCTTTTTGTTACTAGTAGCAATATTCATAATTATAATACTAGAAGTTCCTCGCATTTTCGTTCTCATGCCTGCCGAACTAACACCAAACAATTTTCTATTTTGTTCCAAGGCCCTAAAATTTGGAATTCTTTACCAAACTCAGTCACTTCGATTTTTACATTGCAATCGTTTAAAACGAAAGTTTTTGATTTTCTACTATATCGATAATGCGTCTTGTACTGTCCGTTGTTGTGTGTTGTTATAGTTCTATTGCTTAATATTATTGTAACGAGGGGGCCTCCTCGTACAAGCCTTGTGGTTTTCTGAGGTCCCCTCGCCACATCTTTGTATAATGTAATGCTTGTGTAATCTTTATTGTGGGAAAATAATAAATAAATAAATAAATAAATAAGCCCGGGGGGTACTGCCAGTTATATCGCCTATACGGGGATGTGCTGCTGAACAGTGTATGGTTTTCGTCCTCTCTGTCCTAAACAGGGTATACAATTTCGCGCAAGTCTGTCCCAAACAGTTTGCATGATTAGTGCGAGTCTGTTCTGGTAATGAAATTGAGGGAGTTGTCCTAAACAGGGTACTAAAATTGAGCGTGTTGTCCTAAACAGGGTCAGGGTTTCAAACCCTCAGCGGCTCACTTATACCCAAATATTGGTCGAGTACCCTCCCCCCTTCCCGGGAGACAAGCATGAACCGAGAAATGGTGTAAAATTTCCATCAACAACAAGATACAACAGGTTGACTTCATGATTCCCACATAGGGTCGAAATCTTCTCACAGCCCTCCGGAAGAATGGGCTTGGTTGCAAGCCACCCCTTCAAAGGTTGCTGAATTTTCTAAGTGGTTTCGTGAGTGGTTTCCTATGTAGAGTTCAGAGGGAATGGGTGAAGCTTCTGCAACAGTGTGTGATTCATCGCTGCATTGCAATCCACAAGTGTCTTATTGGAGAAACCGATTTCAGCTTTAATTTTACTAAAAGTCAAGCTGTTCATTCATATAATACAAGACGCTCTAATGATATTCGCTTACCCCTACCCAGAACAAACTGGGGTAAACAAACTTTTATTTTTCACGCCCCGAAAGACTGGAACAGCCTTCCAAATGATTTAAAAGAGTGTAATATTTTATCTATTTTTAAATCCAAGTTAAAAACTTTTTTAAAAGATCTCAGCTAATTTTAAACCTTGATGTTTTTTTGTATAATCGATTTTAAGATTTTAAATTTTTAAATTTGTTTTACTTGTAAACATATTTTACTTTTTTCGTAATTATTAATTAATTAGTTAGATTAATGCATGAGGGCCCCACTGAAAACCGCCTTGGCGAGTTGGGCTCCCTCTATAAATATTATTATTATTATTATTATTATTCAAGCTCCTAGATTACCGGAGATACTATCTAACTCAACAAAGCCAGAATATGTGATTAAGAGGGGTATCATGTTCCACAGCTGCAACTTGTAAACCTTCAGCACTTAATTCTTTGTTAAAACTGTCCTTCCTTCTTACATTTCTGGCATTTTTTCTCCAAGGGGAGAGCAGCGAGGTGGCCGAGTAAATGGGTGCTTGTAGCGACAGAACTTACAGAAACCAGCGGTTGTCTTTTCATGAACCTTGAGTTTTCTAAGAGGGTAAAGTAAACGTTCGGTACCAGCAAGTGCTGGTATGTTAAACTTGTGCTTCTGAAGTTCGGCTGCCTCGAATGTACGGCAATAATCGTGAACGATTTGCAGCGTCAAATTTGGCTTCTTTAGCAATTCACCTCGCAACTGTAGTCAGACAAAACTCTTCCCACGATACAATCACGAATTCTGGTTGCGAAATTCGCAAGTTAATGACAGTATTTTCAGTTCACTGACAAACTTGTCAACCCTTTTGCCTTCCTTCTGTAAAATGTAAAATTCTTATTGTTTCCTTTAAAGTTTTTAAGGGTCTAGCACTTAAAGATCTCTCTGATTTAGCAGCAGTTTTACCAAGGTCGAACTATGATCTACGTCGTAATAGCAACGGAATTCTATTTGCGCGAAGCACATTAAGAGCGAAGTAAACAGTTGGTGACTGCGCGTTCGAGATCGCAGTACCAATATTACGGAATAATTTGCCTTTATCAGTTAGACAAGCAGGTAGTATCGACAAATGTAAGTGTTCACTTCAGACTTATTTATATACTGAGAAGTATAATTAATTTATCTTTTGCTTGTTTTTAACATCATCATTATCAATATTATTTATAATTTCTTGTAATCGTACATTAATTTTACAACACATTGAATTGAGCATGAGATTATTGTAATGAAAACAAAAAACACATAGGATACGTTTTTAGTTACTTCTCTTTAACATCAGGGACTCCTGTTAACATACAATTAAAACATTGTAAAGAATTAGTTTTTTTAATAATCTGACTATGAACTTTATTTTTTATGAACATATGCGTAGGATACGTTTTAAGCAAACATATTGTCAAGTATCATTGTAATTAATTACTTTTTTTCAAAAATATTTTTTTCTGTAAGATTGTAAAGCGCATATATGATTATTTTCATAGAATATGCGCACCATAAATAATAATAATTGTTATTATCTTATTGTCGTCCTTTTTCGGGAAGTGCAACAGTCAGTGCCCCCTATACCTAAGGGGCGTGCTTAGAATTTCAAATGTTACAAATGTGACCCACAGAAGTAAGAATAATCTATGACATAATCTTATCATCATGGCCCAAGAAGGACATGATCCCGGCAAGTTAAGTATTCGCTCTGAAAATAAGTAAATTCTGTCAAACCGGTTAAACCACCAAACAATAGAATATGTCAATCGCAAGTTAACACGATTCCATCGCAAAAAAAAACCAAACAAACAAACAAAAAGGAAACAAAACAATACCAAAAACGGCCTTACCGGTGAGCCTATTAATATAGTACACTCATGTTTCGGTGCTTTTTTTGATGACCTTTACTAACTTGCTACTTCTTTTTTTTACAATAATTAAGTCCAAAATATCCTTACAACTAAAACATATTCCATATGAGCAGATTGTGAAGTGTTTTTCTTGCTTTTCTTTTCAGCTTTATTGGGTTACTTTGATTGGAAGCTTGGACAGTCGTGTCTGAACATTAAAACGATAGAAGGCGAAAGAGCCGTCAGCGGTGCGTACTGGCTGAATAAAGCGGGAGCTTTATTTCAGGTAAATGTATTAAGTGTTTGACACCTTTTTAAAGAATTAAATTTGGGAGCAATTAAGGGTATAGCCTGTTCTAGGCTCCGAGATAGTCGGGTCCTCTGAATTGAGAAGGCGCAAACACGAAAATAAAACGGGAGGAAACTGGGGAGAGCGGTGGCGGCGGAGCCTGTAATCATTTCTTTGAACGACCCGTTCCGGTATACCAGCTTGATAGATTATATCAACACTCTCAAAGCGGGTCGTTCCTGTCACTCAGAGAGACGGCGTGCGGCGTCCACGCGCGTGAAATAGAGGAATCCAAGATAACTTCTGTGTTGAACGAATGTCTACGAGATTTCCCGCACATGGGGGCGCTGAGGAAGGAACAGAAGACCTGCCTTGTGAACTTGGCGCGTGGAAAAGATATTTTTGTAATCCTGTCGACCGGCTTCGGTCTTGCCTGATAACAAAGTGGCAATGACAGAACAGTCGCAAGAAGTTATCTACGTGCTCCAGTCCAGATTCACATTATCTTTAGATCTCTTTAGAAGAACAAGCTGGAGTTTAAAAATCATTGCTTAAGAGCAATCTTGACTGACTCACAACGTAGTTCTCCATGTTTAAAGTAGCTTCAGTTTAAGCTGCAATCGATTCTTCGAAATTTGGGTCTGTGAATCACAATCCGTGAGCATTTCACATCCTGCAAAAACACTAACGAGCTGGGCCCAGCGTGACAAAACTCTTTGTAGAAAACCATCACATCACATTCACGGACAAAAGAAAATCGCTTGGAGAAAATTAAATAACCTAAAACCCTTATTTAGCCGCAATGAAGAACTTTTAAGTTTCAAAAGAGGTCAAAGAAAATGCGCTTGTATCAGAGGGCAAACCATGCCGACCAGAAACAATAACCTCAGAAAATCAATATGCATGTCGCGACCTCTCAGCATGAAACAGGCGGCAAAAATCACATAGTCTGCTCAGTCAAAATGTGGACCCCTCCAGAGCATAATCTACCTGTAAGAGGAAATATTCACTAGAACAAGCAGCATTTTGGCACAAGGTAAAAGTTGTGTGTTGCCTATCGACCAGCTTGTTACACTCCAGATTGCTCTGACTCGCATAAGGGATAAGCGCCGCGCAAAATAATGTCGCGAGAAATTTGAGAAATATTCCAACTCATTGACATTTCGTCAATGAGTTTCGTCAATGAGTTCGTCAATTTTTGTCGTTGTTGAGTGTTACGTAGTAAAATTAATTTCATGCGTTACGTGACTTGCTCGAACGTTCTCTACGTTTTTGGATTATTCATGAATAATTAATTAGGGCATGTTTACATTTCAGCATGAGTCAGCAGATTTGCATCAGTTACTGAAATCATAAAATATGTTGAAAAGCTACTACTATTCGCCTGTTTAGTATTTTCTAGAACCTTATGTCAAACGGTATACAAGTTCCAAGCGAGTTCTTTTGACGGACTAAGTTTGTTCCCATGAGCTGGAGTGCTGTGTTTAGTCAAGTGTGAGGAAGGTCGATTTTCAAGTTCTGTGTTTACAAGTTGGCGGAAGCCGTAAGATGTCTGAAGTTCAAGTGAGAGTTTGTTATTATTGGCAGAGGCTGTTTAGTTTTACTTAAGTTCAAGGCAAGTTTGTGTTGGCGGATGCTGTGTTTTAAAGATCGGTAAAGACTATGTTCCTTTGGTATTAAACTTCCCCGTGTTAATCCGACATCCCTGCGTGCTGATAGTCAGTGAATAATTATCCTCAAAACATTCGAACTCGTAACATTGAGTTTTCGCCAATTCCATGTTTAACGTAATTGACTCCTTACCCATGCCTTACATATCTTTAATCAGTACATGAGACTGCTAAGCTATTTTTGAAGCCTGATGTGACTAAGAAAAATAGAGAATTCTTTTGTCACTGTCTGTTTTGTTAGACTTGTTATTCACCACCAGTAACCTCATATTTGACTTAGGTCTAAACGTTTAGACTCAAGTCAAATTTAGGAGGATTTGTATGGAGTCATCAGACCATAACTGGGCTAATATCTAAGAGACAATTTGTCCCGAAATGCTAGTTTTTTGGCAAGTGGGCCTCTTGGATGTTGCTCTTTTCAGAATATCCCGACAAATCCCACAATTTCACAAATAAATTCCTTATTCTTACCATAGTTCATTTCTTAGTATCCCTCCGCATTTACAATATTAATCAGTTCCACAACCACCGAAGTGTACGCTCCTTAGCGTCTTGTTTGATAACGGGTTACGACTTGAAGCGAGAGTTCCTGAAGGTACCAAATCGCTTCTCAAGGAGAGGATAAATATCCTGTCTAAGGTACAGTTCTACCGTTCAATCTTAAAGGGAAAAAATGGAAATAAGGAGACCTTTTCTGTCTTTTAAATTGGTCATTAAACGCTCGAAATCGGCAGTGACTGTTTCCACGGGGGTCCGCATATTCCAACCATCGGTGCAGATTCAAACATTTCACTTATACTACACACTTCGCTTGCAGAAGCTATTAAGGTTTAATGAAGTTTTCCTGTGGTAAGATAATTGCTCAATTCCTCCTTTTGCTCCTCAGAGGTTAGTATAAGGAAACTTTACTTTCCAAGTCTGTTCTACCTCACTTGAAATTATGCTTCTAGAGCTGATACCGAGGTATTCCAGCAACAAAATACTTATGGTGTAAATCTTTTATTAATACTTTTTTTACTTTCCATGGAAATATGCAACATAATCTTACTAAATAGTCAGGAAAAATGTCTAGACAGGTCATATTACTGAAGAGAGTACAAGAAGCACTGGGCCAGGAGAAAAATAATCAAACAATAACAGGAATACTTGATATCAAAATTTCATTTAGAATTGTACATTAGTTTCCAAACAAGAGTTATTTTTCTATAGGAAGTAGGTAAGGTAGGAACATTTGGACCAGTTGTGATAATTGATGACTGATTGACTTTTTCATGCACTTTTATTAAGGGGGTTAGATTAACAATAAGTAAAACATATTCACTGAAGCACAATGTGGGAAAATAACCCTCTAACCCTATTGTCAGATGATGTCAAGGACTGAACAGAATACTAGTTCTAACACAAGACATTCGGAGACAAATGCTCTCCTCTAAGTGTGAAAAAAATCAAATTGGTCGTAGTTTTATATCACTGAAAAATACAACCGGAAATCCGTCTCCATTCTCAGGCTAAAGGAAGCTTCCAGTGATAAATCGATTCGAAGGCTATGCCTGTTATAACACATTACTTTCTGTTTCTCTTCTAAACTCCTGTTTGTGAGCAGTTTCACAAAAATAATGTCTAGGTATAAATCCTCATGACATTGTCAATAACAACAACAAAAAAAACAAGTAAATGTTCTGGAGTGACCGTAGATGTTTTGATCGAATGATGATGTCGAGGTCAAGAGGATAAGTAGTAATGAGAGGCCTGCTAGTCCACTCTTCAATTCTGTTTACATGTAAGCCTGGAAACGTCATTGGTCTAAGTAGTGTTAATCCTGTTGGTAGAACAGAAAATGATTAGCATAACCGTTACAACTTTCTAGTCCATACTACTGAAAACCTGTTTTATATACAGTTAGATAGACTGTTTAGTTACTCTTAGTTAAAAAGTAATTGAGTAAGGGATGCAGTGTCTACATGTAGTTATGCACCAGTCAAATGAAACCCCGGCCGTCCGACCTCCGGAGCATAGCGGGGGGTAGCGGGGATTTAACGTGGCCAATGCCGGGATTTAACCCACATTTAACAACGTGCTGGCCCCGGGTGCGGTGGAATTAACAAAATGCCTGTTTGACCCAGGTCATGAGTGGGGATTTAACAGCACATATGCATTTTCAGAAGCAGTGATAGGAGCAGGGATTTAGCATAAGTGACTAGGGAAGAGCCTCTTTTCCCAAGGAGAGATGATGCTGCAGAGAATGACATTAAAAGCATACAAGAAACAGGACAGGAAGGCACATACTAGGTCGCTCTAGTCTCAGACACAGCTGAAAGGAATACAGCAAAATTAGAATATAAAAGCAAGGAGTTGCCGTTACTCAACAACAGAACACCTAGAATGAAGTTGATCGTCAGGACTAGACAATTAGCAAAGAAACCAAGTGTCCACTCCCAAAAACCTAAAAGTGCACTGCGAGACAACACAAAGTAAACCTTGGAACGGATGGAAGCAGAAGACGGAGACCCTAAACTTAAAATTTTCTGGGGGAACATACCCCCAGACCCCCCAAAGTTGCGTTGTTTTCTTCTCCACGTCGGTACTGTACACCCTCAAAATCTCTCGCTACGCCTCTGGGAAAGTGAAATACATACACATGCAGGCTTGATAGTGCGGTTTGAAATTACCGTGTTGGTGTCTTGTTTCAAATGTTAACTTTCCCTACAAATAACGTAACTTTCAGAAGGTGTACAAAAAATTTAAAAGGGCTGAACAAAAAATTAGTCACATTAAACTTTGGGGGTATGCCGAAAACAATGACCCCCAGTCCATGGAAACCCCACCCCCCAACGGACCCACCTTAACGGACCCCCATACAGAGAAAATAATAAAAATGACAATTAGAGATTTGACTTACCCTTTGTTTTGCTTTGGTTTTTGTCATTGTTTCCTCCTTCACCGTGGTGATGAAAGGAGGACCTGCGTACTACGAAAACGAACGATAAGTTAGCTAACTTGTGTATTCGCTGCCGACCTCCGATTGCCTTCGAAATTTTGTTCGGCTCATTCCTCCTCGAGTTCAGTGACTCGTCACAGACATCAAACCTACGACACAGTATCATCCCCGTTTTTCGTGCAAAATATTCCTAAAAGAATTCAACTGCGGTAGGATTCACCCATCTTTCATTTTTCTCAAATTATTGTGATGAAGTGTGAAGGAACGCAAGGTAGATTTTAAATGACATTTTCGCTGCCGTTGCCGTCCTGTATCTTGAATTTTTCAACACAAAAGAGTTTTTAAAAAGTTCTTTCGGCGAAAAAGAGATGCAATGTACCTAATACGGAAAAAATTGTTACCTTCCTTATTTTTGAACTTCATGTTAGTACTTTGTCCAACTCAATGCTCGAATGGTGATGTCCACTTAACAGCTGGCTACTTAGTTGCCAAGCCTTTGAATAAGAGTGAGGCTGAGGGTGACCTGCTTATACGAAACTTGCTACCTTTGATGTGTGGATTATTCTGTCTGCGGTTATTCAGTTCCCCCTCTATCAATCATAACAAAGTCGCCCTGCTGAAAGATTTGGCAGCTAAACACATAACTATCAAGTAAAATAAGGGGCATCGCTATCTAATGGCAATCGGCATCTTTCTTTGTCGAAGGAGCACTATTTTGTGAAGCTTGGGACGAGTCAATGAACACGCGGGGGAATGAACGGAACAAAATGGCGGAGGCAATCGGTGGTAGCGAATGCACAAGGGAAAACACGAGTTAGCTAAGTCTTTTTCGCAGGTCCGCGAATACACAAGTTAGCTAAGTTATCGTTCGTTTTCGTAGTACGCAGGTCCTCCTTTCATCGCCACAGTGAAGGAGGCAACAATAACAAAAAACAAAACAAAACAAACGGTAAGTCAAATCTCTAATTGTCATTTTTATTATTGTCTTTTTGTGGGGGATCCGTAAAGGGGGGTCCGTGGACCAGGTCCGTAGGGAGGTCCATGGACTGGGGTCAGTGTTTTCGGGTCACCCAAACTTTGGTACTGCCTCAAAAAGATTGAACTTCTCCACGAGGTTTTCACGAGATCATTACAGAGTAAGCCTAACACTTCTCAGTATACTTACATACATCTTAATGAATAATCGAAACTAGAAATACGTGTATCGCAGAACCTCGCGAAGCTCGGGGGGAGCCCATAAGGGGTGGGAGGACGGGAGAGAAATGAAGTAAGTCATGTAACTGGGGAGGGCGGGTCTAATATTGGAAGCTGAGATGTACTTAATCTCCCGTGGATTAAATTTGAACTTAGAGCACTGGCTTTAAAAAGGATCTTCTGAGATTTAAATGGGGCTGCCGTTGTTAGCGAACGCTGCATAGGTCCCATTCTATGTTCACCCGATTTGAACCTCTTACATGTGTAATTATGGTCAAAAGGAAATGGGGGTGATAGTGGATAACTGCCCGCTAATATGCAGCTGCATTTGCTTAATAAAAGCTCACCCTTAAGTGTAATAATTATTTTTGAAATGTGTCAGTAGTAGTGAGTGGATGGCAATGCTAGGCGATAATGCTGCAGTGAAAACAACGACTAAATGCTGGTAATTGGAGAAAAATTGAAATCTTTATTTATATTACGTTGCTGCATCACCAAAGATACATGTTCCTGTTACAGCTGCAATTATACGTTTTAACCATAATCCGTGTTACAGTGCGTAGAATACAGAAACTTTTAGGAGAAAGTCCACATTTTGTAAGTTTAAATATACCGTTCTTAGTAAAGAGTACAAAGAAAGTCATCGTTATAAGCTTACAGGGATTGTAGCGAATGAGCCATACACTGATCAGTTGTACTTGTACAAAAACACGCTAAAACAAACGAAATTTCAAGACAAAACAGTGAAATCCACTCAGCTTTCGCTTGTTCTCGTTTCCAGATCTTTCTAGACCGTACGACGCATGCGTGAAGCGTGGAAGTGGGAAACGTGTTCGGTCTCAGTCTTTTCGTCCGAGTCGGCAGTCAAATTTCTCCAACACCGCGGCAAAACGCACTGCGCATGAGCACAAAATTTAACATCCGGTCAGCTTTTTATTTCCGGTCTAGTATTTAAACCAATTGCTTAAGCATAACTTTGCCGTCGCGCCAAGTTAAAAGCAAAAAGGGAGAAACAGACAAAAAAAGGGGGCGAAAAAAGTCACTTCATTCGATAGCTGATATATTTTTCTAGTGTCAAACTTTTGTGCCACATGGTTAACTGTTTGCACCAACGCTGAAAATGATGTTTGAAGTTTGCAGGTCGCGAGCGCTCGACAAGACGAATTTGTTTTTACTGGCTTTCTTGCATGCTACTAGTTTGGCATAAGTTAGTTTGGGAGAAGGCGATAACTAAGAAAAGAATAACAATACTTATTAAAAAAAATAAAAATAAAAACCAGGACAGCTCATCTATAACAGATTTTCGTAACCAACCTCACTTTAACAAGATGGCAAAATTATAACGGAGGAAATTGAAACGAATAAATATACTAACCATTTTTGTGGTTCATTCCAGGACATTTATTGTATGCTATATGGATTCTGTGAGATATAACCTTTTTTTAATAGCCAAGTTTTCTCATGCTTTTTATCCAGAGAAAAAACAGTTTTTGTCGAGCGAAATACCGCACCGCACACACATAATTTTCCTAACTTGGAGTCTCAGCTTAATTCTTCAAAAACATTTTTTGCGGAATTTTCACGTAGTAATCAAAATACACTTACCTCTGCCGTTGAAATGTGAGGTAAAAAGTATCCTCGATCAAAATAGAAGCCACATTGTTGCTTCATTCACGGGAAAAAATAAGCTTAAAGTGTTCACATAAAAAACAACAACACCGCCATTTTCGAAAATTCTGCTCGTCGAACAGCTTCACTTTGCTGTGACGTCACTATGGCCAAGAGAATTGAACAGCCACGCTGACGAGTTTATCATTCCCTCCTGAGAAATACGCGTTTATGGTAATTTTCCTCAAAGGTATCTTTTTGTCTTTAAATATTCATGATAAATACAGCTCCACCAGCTTCAAACAGCATCAACGGGCAGAATGTCACGGCAAATACTTTAAATTATAAGTTTCCCTATCTAAATATAGGCTGGCAGCGTGGCTCAGTGGACTAGGACTGGAGCTTACGTGTAAATGGTCCAGGTTGGACTCTCGGCGACGGTATTTTTTCTTTGTTGTACAACTGGTTTTTTTCGTTTAGTTTTAATTTTAAAATCGTCTTTTTCCCCTTCTGTTTGTTTCCATTTATTTTGAATGCTGGCTCTTAACAGCTTCGCGAGGTTTTTACGACAAGCGTATTTCTGTGAAAATTAGTTTTAGCTGTTCTAATACTTCATGATAGTAAAAACTCAGGAGGATCGATAAATAAGGTACACGGGTTTCGTTACAGGTGGTAAAATAAAGGGTCTGATACTAGATTTAATGTCCACTGTCCTTTTTCACAGGTTTATTGCCAAATGGAATCTGACAACGTCTGGACACTGTTTGGGCGTTTCTCTATGGAGGACGCTCAGAACTGGATGAAAGACAGTGGTGAATGGTGGTATGACAAGAATGTTTCAGCTGGAGAAACAGCAGATCCATCAAGCAACAAGGACATGATTTCTCCAGCATTCTGGCTAGTCAGCGGCAATGAAATTAAGATCGCTCGTAATGATGATCCTCAACACATTGCTCTGTTGCAAACCACAAGTGACTGCTTAGGTGGACAGACATGCAGATTGAAAATAACAAGCTACGGTGACTTCAGGAACGGCACGACTTGGGGGAATAATAGGTGCCTGGGAAATTGTACAGTTCAGTTCGGTGGACAATATGAAACTACTCAAGGTTTTGGGAAAGCGAAGTGTAATGGAACCATTCTGAGTGGGGATAAGATCGGTTTCTGGTGCGACAGAGGGGGATGGGATGGGGCGGTTGTGATGATCGGTGGCGTCGGAGGAGTTATCTGTGATCGTACCTTTCATGGGCTGGGAATTACTGCGGCGAAAACACCGTCCTTTTTAAATGGCGACAGAGCAGAACGAGACTTCGGTAATTCACCATATTATGCTGACTACACCAGGGATTACTCTTTAAACCTTTGGATCCATTAGAGTCGTAAGGCTGGCTGTATAGTTCCTTCCACGTAAGGTATCGTTAGCTCCACTGAATAACGAAAGCAGTTGGTTATGAAGAATTAGTCGGTGAACTGAAGCCAATCAGAAACGGCGAAATGTTTAGAATGTATAATGATCACTGCTTTTTCAATCCGGAATTTCGAGACCTTAAGCTCAAGTTGAAAATTGGATGCAGATAAAAGAAACTCCTTGTTTCTGATGTTTGGTTTCGTTAACAACGGGATTAGCAAAGTTACCTCCAGAGAGCTATGATAGCGATGCTAGTCATGATAATAGCTATAAATCAAACAATCATAAATTCATATAATACACGTCGGCAATTTTAGCGGCAGCCTACAATACAATAGGCTTGTGGCTTTAAGCTGTTTATCTAATAATTACTATGATGATTACAAGTTAGAAGATTTATGGACTAGCTGTGTTTTCAGTAAAGGTATTATTAAAGTGGTTCTATATAAAAATATTGATCAAACTTTAGGATTTCGTAAATCCTGGTGTTTTCGTTCTTTCAACCCGTTTATCAAGTAATAAATAGACATATTCCCAGACCCACTTGGTTTGAGACATCACATAAATGCGAGATTTTTTTATGTTAACACTCTTCAGTAAATTTATAGGAAATATATAGACGTCTTGACAACCATTTATTTCTTAGAAAGTTTTCAAAGTCTTAATTATTAGCTATATCTTGTTCAATATTGTCTCTATTCACCATTCTTGAGGACTTTGTAAAGCTCGGTGTGCTCTTTCTGTTTATGTAGATCGTATGTTCATAACTCCATAGACCATAGAAAACGGACTCGTATGCAGCCCACTCGGTTTGAAATAGGCCAACTGGCACTGTAAAACGCAATGTATTTGCGTCATAGCATTTGATTTAAGTTTTCGCATGATGTTATGATGCTACATATATTTACTATCATAAAGATAGTTCCATGTAAAGAGTATGTCCGCTGCTATTTATGATGTCCGCATTATTATATGTTCTTGAGGAACGTGCATTTCAGTCCTTTCCTAGATTTTGTATATGTGTAGTGGCTTTAGAGTGCTTTATCATTGAAGGCCTTTGGTCAAAAATTTGTTTCACTTATAGTTGAAACAAATTTCGTAACATTTGTGTAGAGAGCAAAAAACTAGACATTATGGCAGACATAACGTAATTTATGGCAAGGCATGATGCTCACATGATAACTCGCTAGGTCAGGCTGCACCAGGTACTGCAAATCTAGCCAATGAGGTTATAGGGCTGTGTCTGGGTTAAGTAAGTATATTGAGGTATTTCCCAGTAATTCTTCCTTCTCTCCCTCTTCATCAACTCGGTCAGATCTCGAGCAAAATCTTTCCTTCCTCCTCCCCTTTCACCTGCCTGGGGGTTATCATTGTTAACGGTATTTCCTATTTCTTTTTTTCATTTTCTTATTTAGTTGTGTAGTTTGTGGCCGATTTTTGTCGCCCCATTTTTATTCAGTAGGTTAATCGGTTTACATATATCGATGTGTTGTGATTCTGTTAACTTTGATTTCATTAAACCTGCCACAACCGTGGCCAGATTTATCCAACACAGTTGTTTGTTTATACTTTACAGTCAAACCAAGTCAAGCGTACCCCCCAAGATTCTATCAGTGAATTGATTATTTGAAAAATGAATCCGTTAGTCGTTCCCGTAACTGGTGTCAAATTCAAAGCGGCATTTCTGCATGCGTAATGAGCAGTGAATATTTTACGAGAACTTCTCTGTATTTGGTCAGATTGGAAATCTTTGAATGGATTAAGCTTCTTAGAAGACATTTACATCAATTTCAGGAAAATGGAGGTGGTTGAAATTTCATGACTGCCTCGCGTGTGAATTCACGGCTCATTACACATACAAGAATGCAGAGATCAATCTGAAATCTACAACGAGCAACGGATTCAACTTTTGAATAATAAATTCATTAATGGATTCTTGGGGGGTACGCTTGACCTGGTTTGACTGTAATTCTGTTCCTTATCGGAAAGTACGTAACCGGAAATGCAAGCAGAGCTGGCGCAGAGTTGGGCCTTGTTTTGAACACAATCATGCCTTGATATAAAAATGTATAGCTATGTATCAAGAGATTTTTTGGGCCTCGCTCGCTTTTGCACGGCGTCATGAGCTCCTGACAGTGGCCTTCAGAGGACTTCCTAACTATTGATTTTCAATTACTTATTGCGAGAAAAATCATCTAATAATCGCGCTATGGATTAGATGGTTATCTGCATTATTTCGCTCGATTGATAAATAGATTTTTATCACGTGTCAAAGAGGAGCGAGGAAGTTATATGTGGTTAGTACCGGCCAATCGCTCCGTATGACACACCACAGTCCATGACCCGCCATGCATTAACCGGTTCACAGGTTGAATGTGAAGAGGCAGTTAACATAAATATTTAAAGGACCACTCCATCATGTATTCATCCCCAAAAAAATTGGTAAAGTTCTTGGTTTCTAGAGAGATGTTGAACCTGCTTTGGAGCGCGTAGTAAGAGTATTTGACTCTCTTTCTTTCAGGAGAAAATGAACGGGTGCTCTTTGCTGAGCATGACTGCCAAAGAGATGAATGGGTGCTGTTGGTAAAATTCTGCTTACCCTTATGTTGCAAATCTTTTGTGCACTTATCCAAAAGCAACAGTTAATTGCAGATTGTTGGAGGAGTCAAGTGAACA